AACCCATGCGAGCAGATAGAATATCGTATGATTTTTACCTTCAAGTCCTTTTTGTGTGACCCTCTCTCGGATGATCAAAGACCTAGTTTTTTACGAGAATCTGGAATCTGTGATCTTGAAAGCTTTCAATTACACTATAGTGTATACAATATACAGTTAAATATATTTCCTTATAATTTATTTCAATAAAGATATTAACTGAAACCAAAGTGTAATTATTTTGCAACTACATGCTCTTCAGTTGTTTTGCGAAACATTTTCGAGTGACCACAAAAACGTTTTTGTTACCACCTGAGTACTAATGCTTTAGGAAATTAACGTGGGATATATTCAGGTGAGGTCAGATCACAGGACTAGTGGCTGATGCCAAACGAGCGTTCAGTTTCTTGCTCAATCGAGCTCCAATGTTATTGATGCTCTTCGACAGCTTTTGAAATTCTCGCCTCACTTAACAGTATTTTCTTTAGTACGATCCAGTAGGGGCCACTTAAGCGTTTATCTGTAACGGACAAGTATGAGCATGTAACGAGAAAAAAGACCGACTCGAGTCACCTTTGCCTACTCCTGCTCACCCTCGCCGGTGATTGCGCGTCACATTCTTCATACCACCCTACGTGATTGTACCTACAACCACGAATACGTTCAGTCATATTCAAACTCACACACATCCATACCATCCATACATGCATGCATTCTGGTGCATTTATTAATGTATACTGGTAAACATCCTTACTGATCCCAGAACGAGAACGACAGAATGACACTGAGTGCTTGACGGTATGTCACAAACAGGGTACGCGTAGTCCAATCAAGTCTCAAATGGTCACTACCTAGAGTTCAAGTCTCTCACGCGATGGAGTAAAGATCTGTTTTTCCAGGCTGGATCAGTTAGGGGTTGGTGGAGGAGTATTTATGGAACCCTAATCCCAACCAAGAGTCGAGGAATCATTCTTGCTTGATCATCATTCGTCATAGAGTGAAAGAATAACAGAGGAGTTGCAGGGACAAGAGTCAGCCTTAAAACCAGGCACCCGTCAGCCAAGAAAGATTTGGCTCACTCGGCACACTCTTTAGCTAGGAAGGGAAACGTTACCCCTTTGGCATTGCGCTCAGGATTCATATGGTATTTTAACCATCAAATGTAGTGTAAAAACACGTTTCCGATTTTTGGGGCAGCATAGCGTATGCCATTGCTGTTCACCCATATGAACCATTTATTTTTGGTTCTCCCCCTGTTTGCAGAGCTGGTTTGCGACTGAGTGCCACCGGTTGCTCCTGTGACCCGTATGATTTAGGGTGCGTCTTACTGTACCAACCCTGTCCTGTCCTGTCATGAGCTCCCATCTGAAAAAAGCACATGTGCCTCTTCTTTCTATTGAAATAAACATGAAAATTCTAGAATTTTGTGTTTTATTAATGCTCGAATTTTGATGTAAGTCCCCATGCAGCAACCCTGTTAATACAAGTGTGCTCACAAAGCGTGAGTCCAATGCGCTTTATGCAAAGCGTTCTTTTGAGGGAAATTTTCGAGTAAATAACGCTGGTTTGCTACTAAATTTCGTGCTATTTCTATGAATCGTCTGAAAGAAACTATTTAACTCCACTTAAAATCAATCATTTGTTTGTACTGCTAACTATGTATCCTACGTGCCAGGTATCTTTTCCACTGTGTCCTGATTGACCGTTCAGAGTATCAAAGAAAGATGGAATACTTCGCACACGTGTACACTAAATGAACACAGCAGCTATTTTTCTAGAAAAGATATGATAACCCCAAAGAACTAGAATGAAAAACGTATTCCAAAGTTAAGTTTCTATTGGAGGAACACGTCATCAATGAGAACGCCGTCCGGGGTCTGAATACGACGGAAACACACAATCCTCAACTTTATGGTTTGCCAGAACTCCGAAAGCCATCTGTGAAACTTAAGGTCATCCCATTTGCAATGTGGCTCACGTGGAGATTGAATGAAACCATTCTGAAAGGAAATCGTATATTATTAAGATACGGTCGTTTCTGCGAAAGTTGATCTAAGGAAAGGCTTGCCTTATCAAATATGTACCTTTTCTACGTTTCTTGGGTAATGGTTGGGTAGCTCTTGTTATCTTTATAATTCTACCGAAGACGCATTGGGTTACGATCTATGAGATCTCAATTTTTCCATCGAACTAACGGCCAAAAGGGCTCTGATTTGTCAGTAGGGAGAAATATCACACAAGAGTCTCAATAAAATCTTATTTCAAGTAACATGATTTAACCTGCTACCATATTTTAGCGCGATTCAAGTCTATTTGCTATAAAAATGTCATCTATGGTACTTCAACGAAACTATAAGACGTGAATCACAGAGTATCAAGATAATATCTCTGATAGTACCCAAGGCATTCACCCGAGTGTATGAAAATCAATAGATTTAACGAACTAATCGTAATTTCTATCGAATAAACATAAATTGCGTACACTTTGCAATGACTTCCCATGTTATGATTGAATACTTTTTATCATAATTATCAAGAATTTAAAACACCTCTCTTGCAAGTATAATTTTTGGAAACCTCAAAACTCCCAAGGAGTGAAACCCACACCCAAGACCATCAAGAGTGCCTGGTGCCTCTCAACAATCGAAGGGGCTAATCCAAGCTTGATACCCTAAATGCGTAATTAATTATTTCTTGTCAAAGAAATCCAACCTTGAGGAAGAAAAATTATTCTCCTGAAATGCAAATAAAATGCTTTAAATGTTTGTGGTTTATTATTATTATTATTATTATTATTATTTTACTGTATTATTATTTAAGACAACTTCATATATTTTACTTTTAAATTAAAACGGTTACTGACCAGACTAATATGGGATATGTAGTAAATGCTTAAACTCACTTTCCTTTCTTTTCTTTGGTGCAATCTGAATTCCTTAATGATATTTGCTTCATGCAAACAGTGAACCTAAAAGAGACCGATTAAATTAGTCTCACTAGATAATTTTACTTTGAAGTCAGCCGAAGCAAAGATATAAAAGCGTTTCAGTGCAAAATAAAGTAAGGTTTCATCAATTATTACGTTTTGGGGTAGGGTTAACCGTGGTCATATTTAAGTGAACTTAAAGTATCAGTTTGAGCAATGTTTTTAAGAGAGAACTATTTTTATTTTTTTCTCTGGGATTTTGTATATATATATATATATATATATATATAAGCTGTTGTCAAAATGTAAACATAAAAATATATACAAATTTATGAACTGTTTCTCAAATAATTTGAATACTGCACATATTGCTTAGTTGCAGTTGGTAATTGAAGCGACAAAGGTAATGAGATCCTTTAAAAATTTTAATGTTAGAATTTTTCTGGTTCTTTATGATTTGAATATTCGTAGGTGTTTGATTTAAACTTAAAACCTCATATTTCGTGAAGTGTTTTTGCATTTTATTGAAGTGGAACAGGTGTTATAATACTCTTTAATTTAAGTATAAGCACCCATTTAACTGAGTCAAATAAACTATCTTCTCACCGCAAGTCTTTCAAAAAATAAAAGTAAATATTTTGTGGTCCCCAAGTGAGTGCTTCTCATAGTAAATAAGGAAAAAGATAAAGCTTATGTTAACCTTTTGGAATACATAGCCGCTTATATAGTAACCACATTGGTTGATAGAGTTACTTTGTAATCGGCTTATTTAGACAAAATTATTATAACCCAAGGTAAAGTAAATGTGAAGCAGCTAATGTTCTGAATGACGCAAACGCTTAAAGATTACAGGAAATCAGCAATAAGTGAAAGCGAATTTTTATATATTCAACAGCTTTTTGCTCTGATTTTAAGAATTTTAAATGAACACAGTTTTGTTTGTTTAAATCAGAATGCTGGGTTGCACACTAAAACTTTTATTTCTTCTTTAATGGTTACGGGTAATATAGCTTAAAAAGAAACGTCTTGGATTTTAGTGGAGATTCAGTTTTTCATTTTCAGTTTAAGTTTTGCGAGGAAATTAACATCTCACAATTCAATTATTTTAAAGCTAAATAATAAGCTTTATTAAAAATAAATCCATTAAACGGGTTCACTTTTGTTCTACTTAAATTAGCTCATAAATACATTTAGATAGATAACTACATTACTTGTATGCTTTGCAAAATAAACGTTCTAGGTAATTAGCATGGACTGATTGAGCATGTTATTGTGAATGTGAACAACGAGCAGCCGTAAATTTCTTCCTCTAGGATTTTGAATTAAAATAACTGCTGCAATTATGCATATACGATTTAACAGAGTTAAATTTTTGCCTTAAATTTAGTTAATTATACCTACTGAGATTAATTTATTTAGATGTTACCGCCAGCCACATACATACGGCTTGCTTCAGTGTAACAACAGTGCCGATCATATCTCTAGGAAGATTTTGCCCTTTCTCTTTCTATGATACCAAGGTTTTCTGTCAAGGTAAAGTTTTGTATTACATAGTGTTTACTTCAATTAACAACCCGATTATTACTCTTTACTTATCAAAAGTGTAGTTCAGTTGTTTCGCTTATACAGATAAGCAAAGGCAACTTTAGTCTGAAGGTACCATCAAAATTTTCATTTTTGTACGGATTTGAAAATAACATATGTGGTATAGATAACTTCAATTTGACAAAACGTGTTTGGTTATTTCTTTTCAGTATTGTGTGGCCGTGTCACACTGTTATTTATATTTTTAGATAGGTTTGAATTAGTAGGAATTTTGGAACAGAAACAGATAAACAGAAATACGTATTACAATATTATTCAAAGCTTGAAATTCTATATGGCTATTTTGTTCCTCGCAATAACAACCGAATTAATTGATTTCTTTAAGATGACTTGAGAACTTTTACCAATTTCGGGAACTGTGCATTGAAATATTTTGTAATCAGCCGTTTATCTCATGTAAAAACATAAAGGAAGTCAATGCCTCTGCTTAAAATAATAAGATGAACTGCAATTCTGCCGATATCAACTTGTTTTTTTTCTTCTTAGGAAAATGGATGAAGATGTACAGAAGGCGCAACAGAATGGTGAGTAAAAATCTTCAAACTTTAAAAGACGTTCTTTTAAGAAAATAGATGAATCAAAAATAAATAAATAAATAAATTTATTGTCGAAGTCAAAACATCTCATTCATAAAAAAGAAGCACGAGGTGCTTTGATGAAAAGCACCGTGTATACTCGCTTTTGAAAATTTCAACTTTATAGATGGATATTCAATTAGCATTGTAATGTTAGATAGAAAAATGAAATCATTTTCTGTATAATTAAATTGAACTAAACTTTTATTTGGATTGTGTCCTCAGATGTACCTAAGAATCGATTAATAGGGAAAAAATCTTTTCTGTGTTTTTTATTTTACTTCCTTTTCATTGAATACGAAAGGTTAAAATTTTCAGGAAGGGGCAAGCGGCCAATCAAAGGGGGCTGCCATTCAACACACAATGGGGAAGTCAGGCGGTGGTGATAGGATTCGAACACATCCCCGGGGTAGTAATTTGGTGACGTTACCACCGGGCCACCACCACCCGATGAAAAATACAATCTAAGGAGTTTGCTGTATTACAATAGGATATGAAATACTGAATAACGAATGTATCACTTCATTCAAAGTGTTGATAGATGCATTTTTAATCCTGACTTTTAGACCTGGAGGAAGAAGAGCTAGTTGCAGAGGCTCAAACGGTGCCTGGAGCGTTCAATTTTGTTCAGAGTTTGAGACCGATGTTTATTGAACTCCAGGAATTGGTTTCTCGTGTCACAAGAGGTTTGGATTTCGGTCAAGAAGTTTTCGCAGATCCAGTGATCGCCCATACACGTGTTTTGTGGCTGGAGACAGCACGCTGGGTCAACTTTGAGCAAAACTATAATGAAGTGGAACAAAGGTTTACTGAAGCTCACGTCTCCCCAATGAAGTTCACTCGGATAGCTCAACTTTGCGAGCAAATGCGGAAGCGTAAGTGAACATTCATTGGACTTCTAAGAAAAACATCAAAAAATAAAACAACAGCCAAACTTGAGAATAATGTATATAACATGATATTTTCCTAGAATAAATTTCACGGAATAGATACATCCCCAAGAATAAGTTATCAATTGGGTAATTTAAAATAGTCGTTAGTTGAATATTAGGTAATGGAAGTCAATGTGGAATTTCACTTTTGATTGTCTAACTTTCTCTGAAAATCTTTTCGTTTTCATTTGAGTGTAAGTAAATAGAAGAAAATAAAGACATTATTTTGGAGGGTGAAATAATTATGAAGCAGTTTTTGTGATGGTCAAAATGGTGATACTTTTTGTCACTTATATTAGTAGTTGCTTTTACTTCATGGATACTGTGGAAGGAATCCATTGCAGAAAGGAGTATTTAGATAACCTATAGAAGTTTCAAGCAATGTTGATGTTACACTTAAGTTCGATTAGTTTTCACCTTTACATTTATTTTTTGGTTAACATCAGAAATGAACTCGTGAAAAGATGCTTAAAAGGCAAGACCAATGAGCAAATTTTCCATACCATTAAAATATGACTCACAAAAGAGTTTAAATTTGATTGGTGCAAAACAATTTAACTTTTATGCTAGTTATTTTTTCAGTTAACATACGATCGTTCAGTGTTAATTAGTTCTATGAAAGTATTGCAGGAACCTAAATTTTGTTTTTATCTACTTTTGCAAAATTATTATACTCCTGATTATGTACATTCCGATTTGTAAAATGCTAATGTTGCAACGGATTTCTGTTACAAGATGTGAATCAACTGAAAAGGTGGGATTTCAAAAACTAGTTCATCAAAGATAATGAAAACGTGTCATTCCTCGGTTCCATTTCGTTGACTGTTTGTGGCTTCAATCTCTTCTTCATTTGTCAACCTTCGTGGCACCAACATTTGATTTCATTTGGATTATTTAAATAAATCATCATCATCATAAAACCATTTGTCAACCGAGAATGCACTAGAAAATGGAATGTTGCAAAATATAAAGACTGAATTTCCAAACAATTTTCCCCGATGTGATCCAATTTTGTTGGTCAACTTTACAAAATAATGCAAATTTTTGCGGGTCATTTGTGTTTGGTCTTAACCTGGACACAAACAACAATCCCAGGCTTTCTAAGTGACAGTAATTTGGGAATGGCATTTTCGTTTGATTGCACCTTCTGTCTTTCTGCTGTTCCTACACGGAAATGTACGGACAGTTATATTTAAATCAAAGTTTAAATTCGCATAAATTTGGGTTTGATGTCTGAAATGAATAATGATAGGCTATAAATAGATCTTACACAAGGGTTTTATGACATGTGTAGTATCCTTTTATCATATTTATTATTCAAAAGAGAAAAAGCATAACTGTTTGAATACTGCATATTTGGTAGAGAGATGGAGATGAAAACTACTGCCAGGTAAATAGACCAGAAATTCTTACTTTCGGTCCATTTAGTTCAAATTGATTCGGTTTGGACTTAATGGGTAGATCAATTGTAGTCCCAAATAGATGATAGAAACTGGATAACGCCCCAGTCAAAAACGGGGTTTTATGCAGGAGAATTTTACAAGTGAGAAACATATCAGAATTTCCTACTATGAGGATGTTCACTCATCTTATGTTTAATTAAGTAAACCCAATAAATTTTACTCTACTCGGTTGACGGACCGTCAACTGTTTTATTGCAGCTGTATCCTCATTATTCAACGAATCGCATTATACACATCTGAACTTTAGGCGGTCGTAACATTATTATCGACCGAGAAAGGTCGACATGTTTAAATACATTTGTGACCGAATGGAATAACAAAAAAGGCAGTAGAATGCTTGAAACCATTTTTACAAAGGCTTTATTTTGAGTAATATGATGTATTCATGTGTTTACGATTACGAACCGAAATTCAGCTGTCGCTTATAAAAGGAGAAGATGCTCTTCACCAAAATCTACTTGAAACGGGTTCTTGAGCTTAGATGAATTTCACATTAGTGATGGGTTTCCAACAGTGCAAAAGTGGATAATTTCATTCAATGATGATGTTCTATTGAGGATGAATGAATGCTCACTGAGAGCCACAACTGAACACATTCTGCAGAGAATGATCCTACTGAAATGATACCAAGTTTTAAGACAGTAATTTCTAATTTAAATGTATAGCGTCATGCACAAAATGGGAGTTCAAAGCAAACTAACTAAGGGCATTCTAACAATCCGACTGCCAAAAGCAAGGCACTATGAATGCTATTTATCCGCTGTTTTTTGTATTCAGCCAATCAGAAGATGTATATCTTCGAATGATTGTTTCGCTTTCTTTTAACATACTTCGAAATTGGGCCAAACCAATATCCACCTTAGACATTACCACTTACCTTATACACAATGCGTTTGACAGCATTCGATTAAGAACTCTTCCGCTGGGCGATACAAAAGATTGGTACTAACCCGTTACTCCCCTCGACTCTTCAAATTATGTTGTAACTAACTAACTACTCCATATTTATTCGCATATTCAAATTTCTTGCTGCAGATTGCACTATTCTGCAAACTGAATCAACGATCCTCGGCCCCGCTTTGGAGGAAGTAGCTAAATTAGCTTTGGATAGAGGTTCCATTCAGAACCAAACGCAATACGACGTGTTACGTGCCATACTTTTTGCCCAGCGTTGGCACCCTGAAGTCAAGGGCCATATATCCGATGAGGCTGAATTTGAGTGCTACTGGCGAGGTGAGTTGAGGAAACTTATAAATGTATCACTTAATACTAGAGGAAACGTAGTGCATTTAATCACAGTTTTATCCAGTGAACTAACCTCATGTTTTTACGAAAAAACTACTTAATATATCTATTTCATCAGGGTAATACTTCAACTCCCAAAATTATTCTGCATCCATTGTATTTTTACACATGACTAATTTAAAATTAACTTATATATATATATATATTTACCACCGGCTTGAAAACAAGCATGGTGCCAACGCAACAACAATAACAGTGAAGGGGATAGGTGGATTAGGATACAGGACATGGGGAAAAGTGAGTGAGACAGTTAAACATGGAAAATACAAGATAACAGAATTTTTTTGTGTGTTTCACCGTACACCTTTTGCAATTTTTTTGTTGTTTGATGTTTCGTTTTTCTTAATGGGCACGGGATTTCGATAGACAGATCGTACAGCATTCGCGCCACTGACTTCTATTCTGCGCCATATCTCTCAGCGTCTCTAACCATAGACAATCCTCATCCCTTGGGTCCCAACCTGGGAGGCGGGCTGCACCAACCGAAGCCAAAGCTGAAGCCAGCTTCTTCATGCCTCTAGCCCATGTCATGGTCTGACCGCCGCGCCGCTTCTTCCAGCCTTGCCCGGCACGTGCAAAGAGAGCACGGAAAGGAAGTCGATGGGCAGGCATACGCAATACGTGACCCAGCCATCGGAGGCGGTGTAGAGCGATTACTTCTGTTAGAAGGCGACTATCTGCACCAA